ACTTGTAATGTGTCTGCGAACAACGTTGTTGTAGAACAAGCGATGCCGTTGAATTATGATGTGTGATTCAGGGCGAGGACATGATCGCACTCATTTGTTTTGAATTCAAGGTGACAACACCATGACCGCTTGTGTTGGTGGTCTGTAAAATAAGATCCGAATAAGGAGCTCTTCATTGCACATAAAACTGATGTTATCCAATATGGTAGTTGACGAACGCTGCAAAATCTGGCAATCTCAACTATGGATATCGCGCCGACTGGGCAATTTTATTAGTATGTCACGGGAGTCAGCGATGCTTCACTTTAAAAAATGTAAGTACAACTGGAAGTTGTGGTCCTTTTTATATATAGAGTCAATTGCACATGCGCCAAACCAAACGCAGCATCTCCCAAATATTGCTTATCATAATGTTGTAATCCGTGAACCGCTAAGTTGAATCGCAAACCGTACAACCATATCATGTTTTTTTTTATAATATTCTAAACGTAATTTTGTCCTGCAACTTAAACTATTATTTGGATAATTTAATATAGATTCAGAGAATATAAAATAAAAACCTTTAAAATTAGCCACGAACGTGAGTCGCTACCTAACGTCTATTCGGTCGTAAATTTATATTTGCGTGATTTTAGCAGCGATAGCGTCGGTAGATATTTTGTAGGACTTTGTCACGTTCTTCTCTGGGAGTTCACGATAAGCGGACATTTCCTTTTTGTAAAAGTTCATGGTTTCATCAGCTGGTAACGATTTTTTCTCGTTTAACATAGCGTTAACGTCATAGTTAAGAATGCTTAATGTATATGTGCCGAGTTTAATGTTGAATTAAAATCGTAGGTCTGCTTTTTGCACGAGGATTGAGCCGAGTTAGAAAAAAGTGGCAGTCTCTTTGCGAAGGTATAGGAATGTTCTTGATGGAGTAGCTGGGGTTGATTTCCCCTATGTCAGTTAATCATAAAGTGCTCGACAGGTGTAACCAAGGAGCGGAATATAATGTGTATATAATAGTCAATTATTCCAAAACAAGAGTGCTCAATACAAAGTATATGTAGCGCGAATAAATACCGTAATAGATCTAGAGGAATTACTTAAGACACAACTACATGATAATTGAAACTCTGCAGCATAGTTTTGTAAGGTACAAATACTTAACTCATCGGGAGATTTATGTTTAATAATTCACTGCACCAACGAGCATACAATACGAACTTTACAAATCAACATATCAATTAAAACGTATGGGCTCAAGTGTTATACAATAGTGTCTTTGATCTGTGTCGGCATGATGAAACGAGTTCATTTCCTTTGTTCAGTGTGGAGTGACGGGGTCTAAAAATCATGATATATTTTCCCTTCAAACATAAAATGCATCGTTTGCTAAAGCTAATGTACGGGGCTACAGTCAGCAAAAATTGTCCATGTCATTATATGCTCAATACTAGTGACCAAACATGCTTACTCAGTTCTGTCGCATTTCCAGAGGCATGACTACGGAATGAGGTGTGGTTTCTATATCTTGTTTTAAATTCATTTCATAGCAGAAATAGTGCTGTGGAGTCCGGGCATTTTCCTGAGGCTATTAGAGTATATGATAGTTATTTTCACGGTAACGTTCTATATGTTGCTTAACCTGAAGTTGGGGTTTTGACTTATTCATAACGTTGACCATGGTTTCAATACATAACACACGTAACACAATGTCCCATTATACACCCGTTTTATTTTGAACCAAAACAAGTACAGTACAGTGTTAATATTCCGAGAACCAACCCATTAAAATATGCTGTAATCTTGAACAATCAAAATAAGTTGCCAGAATTATTCTTCCGAAAACATAATATGTAAACTTATTGTTATCAATAAACCGTTATGAAATAAGCCATAAACCACCATAGTAGCATAAGCACACAATCGTGTATCATCAACGACAACTTTAGGGACAGCTGAAATGTAAGGCAAACATGTAAGTTGTAGAATACTCACTGTCAAATATACTGATTTTGTAATAGTGGATGAAAATGCTTTATTTTATGGCTACTACTGAACGGATACAAATACATAACTATATTTTTATATACTTGTATTATAATAAACGTAAAAAGGTTGTAGATAGAGTTTACTAACAACTAACTAAACATGCCTATATTTTAGATAAATGAGTACCTAATACTGAAATCGGTATTGCATTAATATATTAATTAATTAATATATTCACCTGTCGGGAATTAACCAACTATTTCCAAACTCCTCGGCGTGAAACGTTCGTCGTCCATCCGGAAGAGTGAAGTCGTTATGTGGATTACCATCATCATTTCCAAGCAATCCACACACTTTACCACGCAGGTTAATGTCATTAAATCCAATGTTTAGACCATGAATCCGTCTCTCCCATGTCAAAGATAAAGCAGGCTTCTTCAGATATATGTTGATTCCATTTTGTTCTACATCGATGTAGCCTTCATCATTGCCAATCTCTGCCGATGGTGGCGCAATGGGCTTTCCTTTGATCTGTATTAATTAAACAACGTATGCATGTCTGTGAATACATGAACTTCAGTATTCTTGACAAATATAAGACAAATGTTCTGTACTGTATAAAAAAAGATATAATAAACACATAGGAACATCCACCAAACCCTGTGATATAATTTAAACATATTTTCAAATCTATTGCCACGAATATAAACCAACCAGCACTGTGTCGTCTTCATTTATTCGAATCAGTTGTTTTCCATTTGAAGTCACATTGAACGCAACCATGAATGTCACTGGTTTGTATGGGTAGCTACGGTTTCTTGCACGGAAATCAGCAGTGACTTCAAACGATGGGTGGATATCACTATCACAGCTCTTAGTCAATGTATATGAACAGTTTCCATTGAAGTTGTACTTAAACCCATCGAATGTGGTCACATGTGGGTCTTTTTTGACTGTGCCACCTGTATCAATGTAACACATGAGAGTTAGTATTTATAAACTGTCATTCCATTACCCCCATCTACTCTCATTTTATTAAGAGACAATTAATAATCACAAATCAAATCTAATCCCTCCAAAATTAGTTTTTACTTACAGTCAAGTGGCACACTACCACTAGCGCCATTATTGGCAGTATAATGTACGATATACTGCATTTCAGGATCTGGTTTGAAATCGGAAGTTACGTCAACTTCTGTTGCACCATCCTCTACGGAAACAGGTCCATTGTACACGATTTCCCCAGTCTTTGCTTGGACAGCTATTTGAAACTCTGTTGACCTGTAAAACGATGACCGTTTTCTGTCCCATTCGATGTCTATTAAACATAGACCGAATATGTGAATCCTGATCCTGCCACCGCCTGTATTAAAAAAGGGATGTGTGATCAATAACAATTCGATCAAGTCGAGGAATAATCTTAGTAAAAAACAGTGTGCTCATCATTACCATGATGCTCCAATATATGATAACCTGGCTCCTGAATAAATAGGTTACACAATTTTATTTTAGAGTGACAACTATTGTCAAATATTCACTGTTGCGAAAACAACAAATTACATTTTTAGGAACAAAGGTTATTACTACCAAAACAAACGTGAAAATCATAAACATCACCTATTTATAGATCGAATGACTTTGTCATTTTCCGGATTGTTCAAAACAAATTGATCCAAACTTCCTACAACGAGAGTTATATATTTAATTTTCATCCGAAAACTATACTTTTTTATTTAGTTCTTTATTCGGTTTCAAAGACTGGCAAGCCTGGGTTGGAGATCACTAGGTAGAAATATATTAAAGTTGATCTCTATAAAACACACTCTGCTGAAGCTCAGTTGTGGTGCCCGGGTAGAGTGGACTGCAGTTATGCGACTCTGACTGACAAAGAGCGAAATCTACAAATGAATCTGCCTGGAGTAGTTATTGTATGAACTATTCGATATATATTATTTTATGAGAGTACACTTACGTTTTGAGAGTTCGTGAGTTTCATCTCCAGTTTTCTCTATATCCGAGTCTGTTACTGGCGATGCCTGTCGTTTGAAATAAATTAATGTTATATAAAAGTAGAAATATTGTTTTGAGAAAACTGCCAGATAACTTCTCGCATTCTAATTTTATCGTATTTGGACGTTTACTATAGCGTGAAATACAAAGAATAATAAGTATATATATATATATATATATACTAACCTTTACTTCAGTGGACGTGGTTGCAATGACAGCTACTAACGCAAAGGAAAGAAGAATCAGACGATGCATGATTTCAAACAATGGAGAACTTCAGATATAGTCGGCAGTATCAGTTACAGTTGTCAGAGATCTAAATGAGTCTCTGTTATATACCCTTTTGATGCATAAATTAAAAGGTCTACACTTACGTCACGATGATGAATCATCAATTTGATGGCGGAAATCTAGAATAATCTGCTTAGAAATTGCTTATTTTGCAATTTGAAAAGCAGCGAGCTCCCCTAACTTTGGTGATGTGATATAGTTGTCCGTGATGTTTTGTGTTCTGCATGATAATTAACACTAAACTGACTGGTCCAAACTCAATTTCGTCGTACGTTTGCAAAGCATACAATAGGAGCCTTTGTTGTTTGTCATGTGTGTGTGTATCTGTGCGGATATTTTGTTCCAACGACATCTTGAAAATGCTTCAATCAATGTTGATGTCATTTGGTTCAGAGATAAAAAAATACCCTTAATTCAGGATTTTATTTTCAAATTTTTCAAATCTATTGCTGCTAAGTATGTTTTAATCAAAATTATGTTGTATCCGTGATTGAAAAGGTGAGTTTTGCCTCTACAGAAGAAGAAATTATGCATTAAACATAGCAGATAGCTGAATCAGGTTTGCGCTATTGAGAAAATAATTGACTAATATAGTTAAGAAGAGTGAAGCAGGACAGTATCACAGATGCAAGCATGAAATGGTTGATTGTACAGAATAGTAACGTGGACGCAATTACTATAATGTATAACAGTTTAGCCATGCTGTTCAACATAAAAATTATTTTCTTATAAAAACAATACATCTATTTTTTTAATCATTCTGAAACTGAAAAACGAAATAAAACATTTGGGGGGGGGTCTATATGACACATCAATCGAATTCAATCGCATGCATTAGTGGACATGTGTAACAAATGTACAATCGATAATAAAATTAACCATATTAATCAGTCATCCATGGGGTGCACATGCGACTGCACAAATGAACCCATTTTGCTTGAATCTCCATTCAGTTCAAGCAAGATGTTTCAGTTCATGATTTGCCCTCACTTTTCTACACTTGGTTCATTGTTATCGAGTGTATGCGCAGAGAAAGTTATCGGTAAGTATTCTAGACGCTTTGTATATTTATATGAACCTGATTATTCAAAACAGAAAAACTGGCAATAATTATAATGCCCGCTCCGTGGTTCGTCGTCGTTCGTCGTGGTTTACTGTTATACTAGTTGCGACAGCAAGACCGTATAGTATCGGATCATTGGGGTGTGACATCGCTTCAGTTTGTTGAAAGTGTGCTTTATCTAACAATTATTATATTTCACCCAACCTCATCATTTGGCCTATTGAAAGTTTTATCACTTCAAACAGGAAATTGAAAATCATGTCATAATTACTATTATTATACATCTGTCACCGTAACGCAGTGTTACGAAATTTTGCGTTATTGCACTAGGTATTTGCATCCTACCATATTAGAAAATTATAATTCAAAATATGGAACGACTACGCGCGTAAGCGTACCCTAATAATAAAAAACCAAAACATTCTAGCTGCTCACAGCGCGAAGTTTGACCGGACCCCGCACAAGCCTACCAAATCTGTTCAAATTGTTTTTAATTTCGGCATTCCCA